CCATGGGGGAGGATAGCTCTTTAGTGATGATACATAAGAGCGAGATCGAGGTGCAATTGAAAAAGGTAGGGACCTCATCCAGTCTAAGTCCGGTCCTGCCAGCGTACACAAGTGAAAGTCTTGGGAGCACAGAGAGGCTGCTTACACGACGCTGCAACATCTCGCTAAGATAAATGGAGGATAGTGGATATACAGTAGGAAGAGGAGGAGCAGAATGAAGAGGACGAGGGGAAGAAGAAGAAAAGTATACGAGCTAAAATAACCCAGTACAGCATTTCATGAATCATAGTCATTCTCTCTTCTTTCTCTACTCCTGGAATGTCTCACGGCGTCAGGGCAGGTAGAGATCTCTGAAACGGCCCTTCTGTTCGCTTCCTATAAAGTAGTTTCCAGCGTCTCTGATATTTCCGCGGTCCATTTTCTGCATGGTCGACCTCTGGGCCTGTTACCGCTGTATCTGTATAATATTGCTCTCTGTGGTGCCCTGTCTGATACGAATCTGGTTACATGGCCAAACCATTTGATCTGTTGCTCTTTTTTAAAGTTAAGTATTGCTTTTGTCGACTGTCCTGATATCATTGTTCCTAAGACGATCTACCCTCGTTACACCTAGCATAGTAGGTAAACATTTCATTTCTGTCGTGATTATTTTTCTTGTCTTCTAAAGACAAGTGTCAAAGTTTGACATTGATAGCAGAGCGTTGGTAAGAACATTGTGTTGAAAAGGGTTCTTTTAGTGTTTGTTTTTTATGCTCGCATTTCAAAATTGGTGTCATTTGGCCTAAAAAGTGATTAGCTTTATTGCATCTTTGTTTGACTACTTTATTATTTCCTCCGTCTTAACAAATGCGCTCCAAATATGCAAAATCCTTCGGCTGCTTTCACTGGTGTTCATCAATTTTGCCTTTTCTGGAGATTGTCGTCACTTCTGTTTTGTCTACGTTGATCTTCATATTATAGTTGTCGCATTCTGAGTGGAGTCTATTCATAAGTGCTTGCAGTTGTACTGCTGTTGGTGCTATGATTGCCTGGTCATCGGCGAAAAGCAATTCATTTAGTAATTCTCTGACGTTGTCTCCTTCACTGATGTTAGCTGATTTTTACATTTTGTTGACGTGTGTGATGAACATTAGATGTGATAAAACACCACCCTGTCTCATTCCAGATATAAGGTAGAAGTTTTCTGACACTCCTGTATTTGTTCTAACTGCGCAATGACTGTTCACGTATAAACTCTCGCACAATTTAATAAGGTGTTCGTTTACTCCGTAATTCTGCAATACTTTCCATAATTTATCTCCGTTAACTTGATCGAAAAATTTCTGTTGGTCTTCGAATATTACATATAATTATTTATCGAATTCTACAGTCCTTTCCACTAATTGTCTATGTGTGAACATTGCATCAGTATAGCTTCTGTTTTGTCGAAATAACATATGTCCTTCACTAAGTTGTGATTCGGTGACGGGGCTTAGTCTTTTTTCAAGGATCTTACCAAATATTTTCCCGGTTTAGCTCAATAACGAAACTCCTCTATACTTCTCACATTCTCTCTTGTTGCCTTTCTTCTTCTAGTTGGCTACTATTATTGCGTTTCTCCAGTCCTCCCAGGTCTCTTGTGTTGTCCAGACTAAGATGATCAGTCTGTATATATCCATTTTATGCCTACCTCTTCTGTTGCTCTGAGTAGTTCAGCGGGTATCGTCAGGGTAGATGCTTTATTGGAAGGTTCCTCTTTTACAACTTGTCTTATTTCTGCGAGTGTTAAGCTTGGTTCTAAATTTTCGTTTATGTACCTGTAGTCTTTTTGTGTGTTGTGGATTGTTTCTCTGATTGTAAGTTAAGTAGATCGTTAAAATGTTGACGCAGTCTCTCAAGAACCTGTTGTGGTTCATTAAAGGGGACTCCCGTCTTGCCATTTACAATTTATGATGGGTCATATTGTTCATTCTACGTCTCATAACTTTAATTTGCTTATAAAAGTTTTTCGTATCACTTTTTTAAAATCAGTGTTCAACATTTCGTTGTATGTCTGCCATGATGTTTCTTTGGCGTTTCTGACATCTCTGGCTATAATTCTTGCTACTCTATATTCTTCAAGATCATCTCGATTTCTACTTTTCGCCCACGACTAGTATTTACATTTCTCCTCCTTCACTGCTGTTTTTACTCCTTCGTTCCACCAGAGTGTTAATAATGTTCTTGTGATTCTTTTCTTTTCCAATTCCGCATGGTTCTCTTGTTGCTTCGTATACTGATCTTTTAAACATTTCCCATTCCTTCTTTACTAATTTGGTTTCTATAGTAAGCCTGGTAGAATCTTCAGTAAATTATTTAATGTAAGCTTTTTGTGTGTTAGCAGTAATATCACATACAAACAGATATTCACTTGAACAACAAGATTATAGTAGTATCACATACAAACATAAACATTCAGTTATATATAGCAAGACAAGACTACAGTATTTTCCATACACACAAAAACATTTATTAATATAACAAGGAAAGACTACAGTATTTGCTCATACACCCAAAAACATTCATTAATGTAACAAGGAGAGACTACAGTATTTTCTCATACACACAAAAACATTCATTAATATAACAAGGAAAGACTACAGTATTTGCTCATACACCCAAAAACATTCATTAATGTAACAAGGAGAGACTACAGTATTTTCTCATACACACAAAAACATTCATTAATATAACAAGGAAACACTACAGTGTTTGCTCATACAAACAAAAATGTTCATTAATATAACAAGGAAAGACTACAGTATTTTCTTATATACACAAACACATTCATTCAAATAACAAGGACAGACTAATATCACATACAAACATAAACATTTACTCATTTAACAAGGCAGGACTAGTATTTTCTCATACAACCACAACATTCATTCATGTAACAAGGAAAGACTGGAAATATCACATAGTGTTCACATACAAACATAAACATTCACTAATTTCGTAGAACAAGACAAGACTTTAACAATATTATATACAAACATAAACATTTAATGAGAAAGACGAGACTATATCAATACTTGTATGTAGTATAAACTCAAAGCTTTTGTTCTAGAAGAAAAATGAGTTGGTACTATTCAGAAGTCGGCTTCTGTGGCTAAGTCGATGTGAACGCTTTGTAATGCCGGGTTCGATCCCAGCTGCGGGTCATGCAGCATTGCATTGGTTTCGCCATGGTATCAAGAAAGCCGACCATCCAGAAAGCAACGGCAAACTACTGGAGGTAAAATTTGCCTAGAAAAACTACACAACAGCCAGGGGCTGTTGGGGTTGGTTCTGCAACATCCTGTAAAGGATACACAACTAACCCAACTATTCAGAAAGTGTATAAAAAGGTGCCGCCACTCACCAAAAAGTTTCTATTATGGTAGCGCCAAAAGAATGATGAACCAAAAAAAGAAGTGCCGGTACTGTGTAGATCTGCGTGTACCACCCAAAAAAAAAAACTATCAATAATATCCCATAGGTCGTATCAAACTACAAGAATAATAACAGCTCCATTGCTTTGCTAAAAAAAAAAAAAATCATGCTCAACCAGCATCCCTAAGGGGGAGCTTTAGATTATATTTGTGACTAGGTTATGTGCGCCATTTAACTGGCTTAGCATTGCATGCCACCAAGAACCCTGAAAAGGACTCCACGGTGTTAATGCAATCAAAGGAGACAGAAACAAATACTGCCCCAAACTGCGATGAAGTAGTCTATCGGCAAGCTAATTGGCGACCCGGTGGTCGATGAATAATAACTATTTATCAGTAGTAGTAATAGTATTGAAGAGGGTTGGCTAGTAAAGACAATAAAACAAAGAAAATTGAAATATTTTGGTCACTTGAAACGTCATGGAAGTCTAGAGAGAACAATAATGGAGGGGTATATGCCTGGGAAGAGAGGAAGAGGAAGGCCAAGGAGAAGATGGGTGCAGGATGTGGCAGATGATCTCCAGATGGGTGTATCAGACGCAGGACATCTTGCTCAGGATAGGAAGGTTTTCCGGAGGGTTGTTATGGCAGCGAGGTTCCGCGAGGGACATGCTACTGAATGAATGAATGAGTAATAGTATTAATTTTTATAGATATTCTGTTCAACAATGATAGTTATAATGAGGATATAAAGTGTTTATCAAGTTATCAGAATACACACTTGGTAATTTGATTATTTAGTTAGGACAATTATAATTTATGTAATTTAATATAATTTGCGGTAAACCTTGCAATGTGACCCTAGGGGATGATATCTATCATAAGTTAGTATTACTGTAAGTGTCGATCCCAAGGAAACTAAAACACTGTTTGTGTAAGTTCAAATAATATTTAATATTGTTAGAGTTAGCGCTTGGGTTAGGTTAATTTGTTGTAAACCTTGCTACGTGACTGTAGGGAAAGTCATCTATTGTAAGTGCCGACCCTAGGGCATAAAATACATTGTTTGTTTAAGTGCAGTTAATAGTAATATGCTTTTATATTTAACATTGTTTGAGATTAGGATTAGGATTAGAATCAGGGCACCATACTACCACAATATAGGCAGGCCATAAAAATTGCTAATTGTCTGAACGCGGTTTCTGGGACCTCTCCACTGTGATCCTCATCCACATGGTGGCACTTTGTGTCATCGGGTGTTTATCGCTTGTGTGATGTCCTGGTGGGGTAGAAAGTCAGGGCTAACACTAGCTCAAGCACGTATCATTAAAAATATTAAATATGAGAGAGTATTATTATTATGTGAACGTACAATGGATTATCTCCCTTATGATCGCTATAAACATCCATAGATTACGTCCCTTAGGGTCGCATCTGCAAGGATTGCCTAATTTGTATTATCGTTTCAAATGCTTCTTTGTTTATACTTTGACTTTCTGTGTTGTAATTAGGCCTCACAAAACCAACATTTCACTCTCATCATGCGATGCCAGCAAAACAACTACCGGCCAGTAACATCAACAACGACAACAAAACTTTTAACTTTACCTCAGTTTTCGTTATCCTGTGTTTGGCCAGTTTCACGACGGCGAAGTTACCTTTCCCAATGGTCCGCTCAATATCATAAAATCCCACCCGGATCTGGCCTTTGCGTCGGTCTGCCATGACCAAACTTTATGGGGCCATGTGTGTGAGAGAAAGGGCTCCAGGTGGACAAGAGAGGAGACATGGCCCAGGTGAACGACCACGGCCTAGCTCCGAGCTTTTCCTCGACATTTTTCTCTCTTGTCTGTTCTCTCGTGACGTCACCACTGACGTCAGTGTGGCCTATTATCTCATTCCCAGGCGCACTTTCGAATTTAGCCGTTGCTAGGTAACATGACGCATATTAGGCCTGGGCGGCTCACAGTGAGACAAGACATCATCACACACGCACGCATGCACACCCATACGCGGATGGGAGGGTGGGAAGAAAGAACAGACAGGGGAAGAGAAAGAAACGAAAGGGGGAAATGGGTAGAGAAAAAGAGGTAGAAAAAAATAAGAACGAGGAGGCGTTGATATCGACGGTGACGACAGGCAGCCATAAAGACAAAATGCAAATTCATCTACATTTCTACAAATCAATCCTTAAGCCCACGCACAGAAACAGACAAAACAACACGACAGGCGAATAACGACGAATTGTAAGATGTAAGAAAAGAAGAATGCACATACGCGCGCGCATGCACACACACACACACACATGATGTCTCAATGGAGAGACAGAGGCATCAAATTGAAGAAGCCGCTGCCTGTTTATTTGGCTCTTCTCTCTGTCTCAGTCGAACGTACGTCGTCAGTTCCATGAATCTAATGTCTAACATTATTTGATTATTTGTCACTAGTCTAGCGGCGTTTCCGGACCTCTGAATATTGTCTGCATAGCCGCCCGGAACCTGGAGGCCCCGGTCCCTTTAAACACCCCCCTCCCCACCCCATTTTTTGGCTGCTTATTTTGAACAATAATTCAGCAACACTTGATATATGACTTGAAACAACTTCATCTAGAATAATCAGCGATACCAGCATTCCTTAATTACTGCTGGAGGTGTCATGTTCAAGCCCCGGTGAAGGCTGAGATTTTTTTACGGGGATTTCTAGTAACTTTTCCTGGTCTCTGGGTAGTAAGATCGGGCGCCCGTGTGTATTTTTGAGCACTTGGCAGTTGGGAAAGAAAAAAAAATATTCTAACGGCACTGCGCGGGCAAAATTTGGAGTTAAGAGAAATGTCATCATATGAATAGTACAAATACTAAATATTAAACAGCTTTTTTTTTTGAGCACCGGCAGGAAAACAAAATCAAAATTTTGAGAGCATGCGCCTTCCCTGTAGCAACATGCGGTTGTGAGTCGTGGACTATCTCCAAGTCCATAATAAAGAAAATATGGACGTTTGAGCGGAAATGCTATAGAAAGGTTCTCAGATAACCATGAAAAAAAAAAAAAAAAGAAGAAATATTGAAATTTTAAAAGATCTGAACATAAAGGAAGACTGGCTAATAAACAGCATCTGGTCTGGGAAGCTGAAATATTTAGGTCACATCAAGCACCACAGCGGATTAGAAAAAATAGTAGCAGAAGGCATGGTAAAAGGAGGGGGAGGGGGCAGGGGCTGACCAACACGAAGATGGGTATAGGATATAAGTGACTGGCGAGCGACGAGTTTTTTTTTTTTTTTTTAAACAGACCGTTATGACAGCGACGTTCGGCAAAGTACCTGCTACATGATAATGATGTACAAATGCTTTAAGAGATGATTTATATACTGTGTATATTTTCCCTGTGTAGATGCCTAGGTTTCGGAGTTGGTGTGTGGGGGGGGGGGGGAGAGAACAGACATACTGCCTCTATAACAAGCATGTCGTAGGAATCGACTAGTTAGGGCTTTCGTTCAAAGTCGGAGTGCATTGGCCGAAAAGCCTAGAAACCAACAGTTTGCGAGTAAATAAGCCAGATATGTAAGACGGGTGTACACGTAAAAGTTCTGGAACAAAACTTTAGAACAACCAGAACTAGAGTTTACAGTTGCTGCACGCCAAGTAACAGAAGGTATACATGGTTAAATGTGATATCTTGGCCTAGTTACTAAATTATTTTAGAAAGGCCACGTAGTGTGTAGATGGGGCTGAAAACGTGATCAAAACCGAGAGAGAGAGAGAGAGAGAGAGAGAGAGAGAGAGAGAGAGAGAGAGAGAGAGAGAGAGAGAGAGAGAGAGAGAGAGAGAGAGAGCGAGATGAACACTTATCCCTACGATCCCAACATATCTTGTATACTTCTTCATGGCGTCACGTTTGGCTGATGTCTGTCTAAATGGTTAACTGACAATTCGATTGTCACTGGCTTCGTCACATTTCGTATATCACCTGACCACCCATCTCAATTGTTGGCTGTGTGTCTCGGCGTGGGTGTATGCATTGATTTGTAGATGCATTTGAACACGGACACGTTTAGAATGCATATGCATGGGCGCTGAAACCTGTTGGCTCAAGCTCGTTGGGCCCTCCCCCCATCGCTCCCAAATCGGAAAGGGGCTGTGCTCCCTAAAATGTTGTAGGGTAGCTAAGTGGCCTTTTACGCGCCTTGCGTTGGTTTCAACAGTGGTATCAGGGGGGCCGACCATCCAGAGAGCAATGGCAAACTACTGGATCTAAAAGTTGCCTAGAGAAACCATACAACAGCCAGGGGTTGCTGTGGTTGGTTCCACAACGCCCTGTAAAGGATACGCAACTAACCTTGCATACGTCACCTCCATGTCAAATGTTTTCCCTTTACGTTGCCTTCATGTCGCACATGTAACCTTTACGTTGCCTAAATGCGAAACATTTACCCTTTACGTTGCCTAAACACAAAACATCTACCCGTTAAGTTGCTGGAATGTCAAACATTTACTCTTTACGTAGCCTGCATGACAAACATTTGTCCTTCACGTTGCCAGGAGGCTAAACATGTGCCTTTTACTTTGCCGGGAAGTTAAACATTTACCATTTGGGTTGCCGGGATGTTAAACATTTACCATTGACGTTGCAGGGATACTAAACATTCATCTTTACTTTGCCGGAAAGCTAAAAATGTACCCCTCCCGTTGCCAAATGTTTACCTCTTACGTTGCCTGGATGCTAAACATTAAGGCTATACGTTGCGGGTATGTCAAACATTTACCCTTTCCGTTGTCAGAATGGCAAACGTTTACTCTTTACGTTGCAAGGATGCTAACATTGCCAGAATGGAAAACGTTTACTCTTTACGTTGACGAGATGCTAAACATTTAACCTTTACATTATTGGGATGTGAAACGTGTACCCAACTTTACCCAGATTCCAAAAGGCGGCACAACAAACCGCGGACCTTACAGAGCTGCAGTATTCACCGGACAGAGAAAACCTGCTGACGCAAGCCGTGGCTGATACTAAACATTGCTTAATACAGCGCCTGTCAATTAGCTGGATCAGTCAGATGCGAATGTACATGTATGAGACAAAGTTGCTTAGATCGTTTCGGTACAGACATCGATATCAGCAGATTACCACAGGGATCAGTTCTAACGTGCTGACGTCTGTAACATACGTGAATTGTTCTCTCCCGCGGGCGTGAACACAAGGTGGCTCTAACGCCATCACATAGCCGTTGTTTCTGAATCGTTTATCGCTGGCAAACATTGACACCATTCTTTAATCCACATGAAGTTTAGTTTAGGTTAGTTGCGTATCCTTTACAGGACGTTGCAGAACCAACCCCAACAGCCCCTGGCTGTTGTGTTGTTTTTCTAGGCAAGGTTAGGTCCATTAGTTTGCCATTGCTTTCTGGGCGGTCGGCTTTCTTGATACCACTGTCGAAACCAAAGCAAGGCGCATGGCCCGCAGCTGGAATCGAACCCGGCATCCCGAAGCGTTCGCATCGACTTAGCCACAGAGCCGACTACATGAAGTTTATCATCATCAATTTTCCCTCCTGTCATTAAGCGTTGTGGGGAGGAACATTTTGCGATCCTTTGCTTGATGGGCAGCAAATGTCATTCCGTTTCACTGTGGCTTTTTAATGTCATCAATCCATATTTTCATAGGGTAGCCTCTTGAATACCTTGCGTAACGCCTGCGTTGTGATAAATGAAGTTACCACATAGACCTTTCCCGTGCGGGTTTCCCAGGACCAAATATGTAGTCAAAGCCGACCGAGTAGGGGTTTGCTGAGATAGGATCTTGGCCCCCTGGTCGACCGAGACTTAAATAGGTGCCAGGTACAGACCTGGGAAGTTAAGGCAGCCAACGTGATGCTGAACACATCACTCATCGAGCATCTATTGGTCTATAAGATGTAGTGCTAGCTCTATATGCCTGAAACAGGATGATAAAAAACATAGAACGAAAGTTAAAGGCATCATCATCATCATGTAGGAGGTCCTTCGCAGAACGTCGCTCTCATCACGGTCTGTCTGAAAGAAGCTCGGTCTCTCGCCAGTTCTCCTGCCTCATGTACTTTCATACTCAAGGAGTCACTTATATCCTGTGCCCATCTTCGTGTCGGTCGGCCCCTGTCCCTCCTTCCTGGTACCATGCCTTCTGTTATAGTTTTTTCCCAATCCGTTGTGGCGCTTGATATGACCAAAATATTTCAGCTTCCGAGAAAGGATCCTGTTTATTAGCCAATCTTCCTTGATGTTCAGATCTTTTAAGATGTCAATATTTCTCCTCTTCTTTGTCCAAGATATTCTGAGAATCTTTCTATAGCATTTCAGCTCAAAAAACCTTATTCTCTTTCTTAAGGACAGAGAGATAGTCTACGACTCATATCTGTATGTAGCCACAGGGAAGATGCATGCAACTGAAAATAAATGCCCGAGGAAAATGCTGAGCATAAAATGGGATGATCTATCTATCTTCTTTTACCCTACCAGGACATCACACAAGCGATAAACACCCGATGACAAAAAGTGTCACTATGTGAATAATAATCACCCGTGGAGAGGTCCCAGAAACCGCGTTCAGCCATGAGACCATATATTGCGCCCCCTGGCAAGAGCCAGAGTAGGGCTTCAAATAACGAAAAACTGCATCCCCAAAGGGGTGATACGGATAAATGGGATGAATTCAAGAGGGGTAAAGAAATAAGATGTCTGGGCAACCATTGATAACAAACAGCACTTATAAGACAACGGAGATGGCGCTATATTAGACACATCCTGAGATGTAATGCAATTTCTTTAAAAGGACAAGGTGAAACGGTTTGTTCATCTGACAAGAATACAGAAGGCTGAGTGGTCTCGACGTATGGCATCCACCTCGAGTGCTGGACTTCTAGTAATTTTCCCTGGTCTCTGGGTAGTAAGACCGGACGTCCGTTAGTACTTTTGCGCACGTAACTTTTAGAAACTGTAAAAAAAAAGTAGCCCCTTCGGCGCTGCCCGGGAAATATCTGGAGTTAAAAATCTACCTAAAAAGTATTTCAAGATCCTCGCCGGTGCAACGAAGTTTGTGCACTGAGCTGAGATTTTTCAGACTCAAGCTTGCCTATTTGGACATCTGCTTGCCATACTTTCTGAAGTTGAAAGAGTTAAAAGATGCCAGATGTTTTTTATCCATTAAATATTTCTTTTATAATTTTAGTTTAAAACATTCTAGAAGAGACAGGATCAAAAATGATATCAGGAAACAGGTTGGTAAAGAACCAGTGCTAAAATCTTCATCAAGAGACAACAGATCAAACGGCCTTGGTTTGTGGTAAGATTACCACCAGGTCGTGCACCACAGAGGGACGTGACACTTAGCCATAATGGATGCAGCTCTCTAGCAAATGATGGAATATCTGAGACCCTAAATAAAAAGTGAAAAAAAAACAGAAGACTCTTTTCCACGCCTTTAGGGCATGACCTATATTTTATAGACCAATCAGCACAAGATAGGTGATGTGGTCAGCAGCATCACGCCAGTCACCTTCACTTTCTGGGACTGCAACCGTTACCCATGGTCATGAACCCACGACTTTTCGATCAGCGGCGAGCGTCAACCCGCTCCGCCAGTGACTGCCGTGACCCTAAATACCAGTATCTATCTACGTAGCACATCCCAATGTGCGCACCCGATGCCTCCTCAAAACCTGACGCTGAAAGGCAAGAACCTTCCTCAAAACCTGAGCTGAAAGGTAAGAAGCCTCCTCAAAACCTGAGCTGAAAGGTAAGAACTTGAAAAACCCTCCTCAAAACCTGACGCTGAAAGGTAAGAACCCTCCTCAAAACCTGAGCTGAAAGGTAAGAACTTGAAAAATCCTCCTCAAAACCTGACGCTGAAAGGTAAAAACCCTCCTCAAAACCTGAGCTGAAAGCTAAGAACCCTCCTCAAAGCCTGACGCTGAAAGGCAAGAACTTGAAGAATCCTCCTCAAAACCTGACGCTGAAAGGCAAGAACCCTCCTCAAAACCTGACGCTGAATGGCAAGAACCCTCCTCAAAACCTGACGCTGAAAGGCAAGAACCCTCCTCAAAACCTGACGCTGAATGGTAAGAATCCTCCTCAAAACCTGACGCTGAAAGGCAAGAACCCTCCTCAGAACCTGATGCTGAAAGGCAAGAACCCTCCTCAAAACCTGACGCTGAAAGGCAAGAACCCTCCTCAAGCCTGAGGCTAAAAGGCGAAAGAGAACATGTCTAGAGAAGAAGACTAAAATGACCGCCTGTATAAAGAGCCGAGTTCAAAAGCCAAGGCTACGCACACCATTATGGCACTAAGAACAAGTTCACAGAATTTCAGACTAACGTGCACAGCCTACTGGAAGCCATGGCCGCATAGTGGTTAGATGACAATCCGGCCCGCTCAAAGGCCTTTGGTTCACAAGCAAACCGGGCGAATGCAGACAAAAGTGACAGGTCGACCCAGTTTAAAATGGTAGCTGGTAATAAACTAGGTAGTAAAGGTGGATGTCAACCATATTGCTTACTATAAAGATGCGAGTTTAGCAGCAAATGCTAAACAGATTCACATTTTTGCTGGTGCGAAAAGGATTTGTTTCACACTTCCAATAAATAGCGCACACAGAAGACCAATTTGCACTTTCCTGGGGGTACAAAAACAGAAGGAATATCGTTTCTGTTTTATTTTCAAAGGGAGCCTCAATGGTGTAGTGGCTATACGTTCGCATGCAGATATGAAGGTTTTTCTTCTTTCAAAAAAGAAATTGTCTCACAGATGGACTTTATCTTAAAGGGTACCAGGTAAAGTCCCGGAAAGTAAATGCAGTCGGCGTGATGTCGACCATATCACCCACTGAGTGCCCATTGGTCTATAAAGTACACGTCTAGCACTATATGCCCAATACACATGGGAATAGGCGTGGGAAAAGACCAGTAACTTTACTTCTGATTTCAGCAGAAAATATAGATGCTACCTTGTTCTGCTTTATATATATATATACACACAGATACATACATATACCCATTGTGTATTATCCATAAATCCCATTTATTTGTGTTCTAGGTCCAATGATGTCATCCCCATTCACTGCTGTCTTGTGGCAACAATGTGGTTTAAGCCTCACAGCAAGACTTTGTTCTGGTGGTGTGGAATGAGCCTCATGATAATACTGAAGGCCTACTGCAAGTGCTAGGTCTCATAGCATGGTCACATTCAACCCTGTTAAACCACTAACACAGAACACAGCATTGTCACAACCACTAACATCATACACAACAATGCGACTGCCACTAAAATCATAACCAACAATGTTACATCCAAAAACAACAATGTTATACTATTAACATTACATACAACAATGCTACTGCCACTAAAATCCCAAACAACAATGTTAGATCCCCGAAAACCTAACATCACATACAATAACGTTACAACGACTAACATCACATACAATAACGTTACAACCACTAAAATCCCATACAATAATGTTACAACCACTAACATCACATACAACAATGTTACAACCACTAACATCACATACAATAATGTTACAACCACTAACATCACATACAATAACGTTACAACCACTAACATCACATACAATAACGTTACAACCACTAACATCACATACAATAATGTTACAACCACTAACATCACATACAATAACATTACATACAATAATGTTACAACCACTAACATCACAATGTTTTAAACACACTAACAATCACATACAATAATGTTACTAACCACAATGTTACAACCACTAACATCACATACAATAACGTTACAACCACTAACATCACATACAATAATGTTACAACCACTAACATCACATACAATAATGTTACAACCACTAACATCACATACAATAATGTTACAACCACTAACATCACATACAATAATGTTACAACCACTAACATCACATACAATAATGTTACAACCACTAACATCACATACAATAATGTTACAACCACTAACATCACATACAATAATGTTACAACCACTAACATCACATACAATAATGTTACAACCACTAACATCACATACAATAATGTTACAACCACTAACATCACATACAATAATGTTACAACTAACATCACATACAATGTTACATCACATACAATAATGTTACAACCACTAACATCACATACAATAATGTTACAACCACTAACATCACATACAATAATGTTACAACCACTAACATCACATACAATAATGTTACAACCACTAACATCACATACAATAATGTTACAACCACTAACATCACATACAATAACATTACAACCACTAACATCACATACAATAATGTTACAACCACTAACATCACAATGTTACAACCACTAACATCACATACAATAACGTTACAACCACTAACATCACATACAACAATGTTACAACCACTAACATCACATACAATAACATACAACCATAACAATACAATGTTACAACCACTAACATCACATTCAACAATGTTACAACCACTAACACCACACACAACAATGTTACAACCACTAACATCACATACAACAATGTTACAACCACTAACATCACATACAATAATGTTACAACCACTAACATCACATACATCACAATGTTACAACCACTAACATCACATACAATAATGTTACAACCACACTAACATCAACATACAGGTCTTCAATGTTACAACCACTAGCAACATCACACTAACATCACATACAATGTTACAACCACTAACATCACATACAACAATGTTACAACCACTAACTATCAACTTAACTGTACTCTATCACCCACATTTATAGCTATCTCAAGCAGCAATTTCTCATGAAACTGTTTCTGCATTAACCCTCCACTGCCCGGTGCCTGTTTTCAGAAATCTCAGGTACACCATTAAAATAAACAGCTAGAAACTCATCAAATGATGACGGGTTAAAGGACTCATATCTGTCACGCTTAATTGGCCTTGGCATCCATGGCTGACCTAGGATCTTCTCAAACAGATGTGATCTATCTGTAGTCCAGACCAAGTTCTTGACTCCAGTGGCATTATTGAGGTCCAGAGTATTTAACTGAAACATAAGCATCATGTCTGATCAAAACATCCGCTAATTATATTCTTGTCAAGTATTTAACTGAAAAAAAGCATCCAGTAATAACATTGTCGTGAAGTGTATGACTGAAAAAGACATCAAGTAATAACATTGTCTTGAAGTGTATGACTGAAAAAGACATCAAGTATAACATGGTCATGAAGTGTATGACTGAACAAGACATCAAGTAATAACATTGTCGTGAAGTGTATGACTGAAAAAGACATCAAGTAATAACATTGTCGTGAAGTGTACGACTGAAAAAGACATCAAGTAATAACATTGTCTTGAAGTGTATGACTGAAAAAGACATAAAGTAATAACATTGTCGTGAAGTGTATGACTGAAAAAGACATCAAGTAATAACATTGTCTTGAAGTGTATGACTGAAAAAGACATCAAGTAATAACATTGTCGTGAAGTGTATGACTGAAAAAGACATCAAGTAATAACATTGTCTTGAAGTGTATGACTGAAGAAAAAAGACATCAAGTAATAACATTGTCGTGAAGTGTATGACTGAAAAAGACATCAAGTAATAACATTGTCTTGAAGTGTATGACTGAAAAAGACATCAAGTAATAACATTGTCTTGAAGTGTATGACTGAAAAAGACATCAAGTAATAACATTGTCGTGAAGTGTATGACTGAAAAAGACATCAAGTAATAACATTGTCGTGAAGTGTATGACTGAAAAAGACATCAAGTATAACATGGTCATGAAGTGTATGACTGAAAAAGACACCATCTAATGACACTCTCAGGAAATATTTTAATTGAAAAAAAAAAATTTAATTTAATTGTTGACATTCTCATGAAGTATTTCAGTTAAATAAACATCAAGTAATAATGTTATGAAATGTTTGACTGAAAGCATGAACAAACATTAAGTAATGACACTGTCTTATCAGACTGAAAAAAAACAAATATCAAGTAATGACACTGTCTTGTCTAACTGAAACATAAACAAATTTCAAGTCCAGCAGTAGGTTTCTGTGTGTCAGACAACACCAGTCCAGTAGTTCAGTGTGTCAGACAACACCAGTCCAGTGGTTCAGTGTGTCAGACAACACCAGTCCAACGGTTCAGTGTGTCAGACAACACCAGTCCAACGGTTCAGTGTGTCAGACAACACCAGTCCAGTGGTTAAGTGTGTCAGACAACACCAGTCCAACGGTTAAGTGTGTCAGACAACACCAGTCCAGTGGTTCAGTGTGTCAGACAACACCAGTCCAACGGTTCAGTGTGTCAGACAACACCAGTTCAGCAGTAGGTTTCTGTGTGTCAGACAACACCAGTCCAGCAGTAGGTTTCTGTGTGTCAGACAACACCAGTCCAACGGTTCAGTGTGTCAGACAACACCAGTCCAGTGGTTCAGTGTGTCAGACAACACCAGTCCAACGGTTCAGTGTGTCAGACAACACCAGTCCAGTGGTTCAGTGTGTCAGACAACACCAGTCCAACGGTTCAGTGTGTCAGACAACACCAGTCCAGTGGTTCAGTGTGTCAGACAACACCAGTCCAACGGTTAAGTGTGTTAGACAACACCAGTCCAGTGGTTCAGTGTGTCAGACAACACCAGTCCAGCGGTTCAGTGTGTCAGACAACACCAGTCCAACGGTTCAGTGTGTCAGACAACACCAATCCAGCAGTAGGTTTCTGTGTGTCAGACAACACCAGTCCAGCAGTAGGTTTATGTGTGTCAGATAATACCAGTCCAGCAGTAGGTTTATGTGTGTCAGACAACACCAGTCCAGCAGTAGGTTTATGTGTGTCAGACAACACCAGTCCAGCAGTAGGTTTATGTGTGTCAGACAACACCAGTCCAGCAGTAGGTTTATGTGTGTCAGACAACACCAGTCCAACGGTTCAGTGTGTCAGACAACACCAGTCCAGCAGTAGGTTTCTGTGTGTCAGACAACACCAGCCTTGATTTGTGCTTCCAATGACACAACACTTGTGACCTCAATGACCTGAAAAATGTTACTTTACTGACGACACATGTCACTTCACAAACCTGACACATGTGACCTCTGACATGACACATGTGACTTACCTGACCTTACTCATGGGACCTCATTGACCTGAGACCTCACTGACCTGACACATGTGACCTTACTGACCTTACTCATGGGACCTCATTGACCTGAGACCACACGTGACCTCACTGACCCGACTCATGTGACCTCACTAACCTAACATATGTTACCCAAGGGACCTAAGCCCTGTGACCTCACTGACTCCAACATACAAGACCTGACTGACATGGCAGATATAACTGATACCAAAGAAAGAAATAGAATCTTACTGACCTGGAAAAATGTGAACAGAAAATGATCCTGCTCCAGTAACACATGCTGGATGTTGATTGGTTCAGGAAGGACCTTGACATCATCCTGCATGAGATGATCAGAATATAAGGCATGTGATGACAGTATCAGATTGGTGGCAAAGTATGAGACATTGGATGATAGTATCAGATTTAGTGGCAAAGTGTGAGACATGTGATGATAGTATCAGATTTAGTGGCAAAATACGAGACATTTGATGACAGTATCAGATTTGGTGGCAAAATATGAGACATTTGATGACAGTATCAGATTCGGTGGTAAAATATTAGACATTCCATGACTGTCAGATTTGGTGATAAGAATATAAAAATTTGATGATTTGACAGTATCAGCTTTAGTGGCAAAATACGAGACATTTCATGACAGTATCAGATTTGATGATAAGAATATAAGCATTTGATAATACGACTGTCAGATATGTGGATCAGAATATGAGCATTTGATGACAAAATGTGAGACATTTAATGACATGACAGCATCAGATTTACTTACACATTTAGCTCACTCCATGTCTTCCACAAATGTTTTTACCTTACTCTCTAGCTCTTTTTTCCATGGATCTTATGGCTCTTTCTTTATTTCTATACCACTGTAGGTTCCAGTACATAGACATTCTAGTTATACTGTTCTTGGGTTTTCGACATGCCTATTTTCTTCACCTCTTGATTCACCAGAATTATTTTCGTTATCTTCAAAAACACAAAATGAAAGATTCTAGTACGTCATTTATGTCCCTCTATTCTGCGCAGGTATCACGATGAACAAATGATAGTAAGAACATTTAAAAAAAAATAACCAAGTGGTGTACCCCATATCGTTGTCGTGCCAGGGCGGCTGTGAACATCAAGCAGGTCATGACTTGTGATGCAGAGTAGTGCTTGTCCTCCCAGTGATACTTCCTGGGAAACTGAACAATCGTGTGTGGGCAGGCCAATATGTCAGAAGTGGTCACACCTGGGTATTACACACAATCACATCTGTAGTCAATGCCACATGTAGGCTTCCATGCTCCCACACAGCAGCTTAAAAGACTTTCTCTCACACACAACATACTTTAGAGTCTTGTTGCTCTCACACAACATACTTTAGAGTCTTGTTGCTCTCACACAACATACTTTAGAGTCTTGTTGCTCTCACACAACATACTTTAGAGTCTTGTTGTTCTCACACAACATACTTTAGAGTTTTGTTGCTCTCACACAACATACTTTAGAGTCTTGTTGCTCTCACACAACATACTTTAGAGTCTTGTTGCTCTCACACAACATACTTTAGAGTCTTGTTGCTCTCACACAACATACTTTAGAGTCTTGTTGCTCTCACACAACACACCTTAAAAAATGGTTCTCCACCTCTTCCTTATGCTGTGACCCTTGAATACAGTTCCTCATGTTGTGGTCACTCCTAACCATACAATTATTTTAGTCACTAATTCATAACTTCAATAAATATGTGTTTTGAAATGGTATTTGGCAACCCCTGTGAAAGGGTTGTTCGACCCAAAAAAAAAAAAAAAAAAGTTGTGACCCATAGGTTGAGTTCCGCTGCCTTAGAGTCTTGTTGCTCTCACACAACACACCTTAGAGTCTTGCTGCCCTCACACAACACACTTGACAGTCTTGTTGCTCTTATACAACACACCTTAGAGTCTTGCTGCTCTCACAAAACACATCTTAGAGTCTTGTTGCTCTCACACAACACACCTTAAAGTCTTGCTGCTGTTACACAACACACCTTAGAGATATGTCGCTATCACACAACACATCATAGAGTCTTGTTGCTCTCACACAACATACCTTCGAGATATGTCACTATCATACAACACACCTTAGAGTCTTGTTGCTCTCACAGAACACACCTTATTCTTTTTGCTCTCACACAACACATCTTAGAGATATGTTGCTCTCACACTTCATATCTTAGAGATATGTTGCTCTCACACATCACATCTTAGAGATGTGTTGCTCTTACATATCACATCTTAAGAGTCTTGTTGATCTCACACATCATATCTTACAGACATGTTGTTCTCACACATCACATCTTACAGATGTATTGCTTGCACATCACATCTTAGATATGTGTGACTCTCATACAACACACCTCAGAGTTTTGTCCCACTTACACAACACACCTTGAAGTCTTGTCACACTCACATAACCACCTTAGAGTCTTGTTACTCTTACATAACACATACTAGAGACTTGCTCTCACACATCACAACTTGAGACTTGTGTTGCTCTCATGCATCACATCTTAGAGACTTGTTGCTCTCATATAACAGACATGAGAGACTTGTTGCTCTCAGATCACACATATCCGAGACCTGTTACCCTCAAGCATCTTAGAGACTCATTGCTCTCAAACAACTCTATAATTTATGTTACACATTACAGACTTGCTGTACAAACTACACATTCTGCTGCTCCTGCATATTTTTTTTTTTACACAATATAGTGGAAGTACGGATACAACGACTGGGTAAAATCTATATAGATATTTCTGGAGCCTGGGAAAGTTAGGCAGTATATCGACTGATCTGACTGCACATACCTGCGTGACTCTTCAACCCATAATGGTTACTTTCTAGAAAGTCTACAGTTGGGAGGACTGGCCACATGTCAGGAACCTGATAGGAAATACTGGCATCCACAACATCCTGTCCGGCAAATGAAGGTAACATCTGGTCAGACGTCAACAGCAAGTCTAAGTTTTCCTTCATGACCACCGGTTTCCCTGATGGCAGATAACAATCATAACAATTAGTTTCCCTGATGGCAGACAACAATCATAACAATTAGTTTCCCTGATGGCAGACAACAATCATACAAATTAGTTTTCCTGATGGCAGACAACAATCATAACAATTAGTTTCCCTGGTGGCAGACAACAATCATAACAATTAGTTTCCCTGATGGCAGATAATAATCATAATAATTAGTTTCCCTGATGGCAGTCAACAATCATAACAATTAGTTTCCCTGATGGCAGATAATAATCATAATAATTAGTTTCCCTGATGGCAGTCAACAATCATAACAATTAGTTTCCCTGATGGCAGATAATAATCATAATAATTAGTTTCCCTGATGGCAGTCAACAATCATAACAATTAGTTTCCCTGATGGCAGTCAACAATCATAACAATTAGTTTCCCTGATGGCAGACAACAATCATAACAATTAGTTTCCCTGATGGCAGACAACAATCATAACAATTAGTTTCCCTGATGGCAGACAACAATCACTACAATTAGTTTCCCTGATGGCAGACAACAATCATAACAATTAGTTTCCCTGATGGCAGACAATAAAAAACATTACAACCGGTTTTCCTGTTGTAGTCACCAAATATGACAACCAGTTTCCCTGATGATAAACGAAAACAAACATGACAAACAGATTCCCTGATGATAAACAAGAACAAACATGGCAGCGAGTTTCCCTGATGATAAACAAAAACAAACATGACAACCAGATTTCCTGATGATAAACAAGAACAAACATGTCAACCAGTTTCCCTGATGATAAACAACAACAAACATGCAAACCAGTTCCCTTGATGATAAACAACAGAAAACATGATAACCAGTTTCCCTGATGATAAACAACAACACATAAGTCATCAAGAGCATGACATCACGGGTAGAAATGGTGGGTGTAGGAGGGGGAGGGAGCCGTAGCGGCCGGGGGGAGACTAACATTTATATCTTATCCTAGTGGTTAACATTTATATCTATCCTAAGAGTCACATTTATATCTCTCCCTGACAGTAAACATTTATATCTTACCTTGACTGTTCACATTTATATTTCACCCTGGCAGTTAACATTATATCTTATCCTAGTGTTAAAATTTATATCTTATCCTAGTGGTTAACATTTATATCCTATCCTAGTGGTTAACATTATATTTTGTCCTAGTGGTTAACATTTATATCTTATCATAGTGGTTAACATTTATATTATATCTCTCCCTGACAGTAAACATTTATATTTCACCTTGGCAGTTAACATTATATCTTATCCTGGTAGTTAACATTTATGTCTTAACCTAGAAGTTAACATTTATATCTTATCCTGGTAGCTAACATTTATATCTTATCCTGGTAGCTAACAATTATATATTATCCTGGTAGCTAACATTTATATATTATCCTGGCAGTCAACATTTATATCTCACCCTGACAGTCAACACTTTTATCTTATCCTGACAGTCAACATTTATATCTCACCCTGACAGTCAACACTTTTATCTTATCCTGACAGTCAACATTTATATCTCACCCTTATAGTCACAACTTTTTTTTTTAACCCTGGTAGTTAACATTTATACCTGATCTGACAGTGCATTTTGATCTGTACATTTTACTCTGGTAATTAACATTCATATCTTACCCTGGTAGTTCACATAAGAATGCAGAAGACAATCAGCAACCTGATGCCGGCTTCTCAAAGATGGGTACTCCTTGATCTCTGATTTACTTAACCTGAGCAGGTTTTGCATCAGAATCTGCCTGCTCACATAAACAACAGGTTTTAATGACCACAGCCCAATCAAATCAATTAAAAAAACAAAGACAGCAACTATACTTTAACTTATTACCACAGTGACTAACCATGTACTGCTAGGAAACAGCGTAGATGGTGGTGCTGCAAGTGTGGAGGCTTACAGTTGTCAGAGGCCTAGCAAACAGCACACGGATCACGCCAGCTCTATCGTATAAAAGATCTTTCTATGCTGGGGCTCAGACCTTTGGTCCGAGACGATCCACATCTGCGACGATGCATATCTGCGATGATCTATATCTCAGACGATCCACATCTGAGACGATCCATATCTTAGATGATTCATATCTGAGACGATCCATATCTTAGATGATCCATATCTATGATGATCTATATCTGCGACGATGCATATCTGCGATGATCTATATCTGAGACGATCCATATCTTAGATGATTCATATCTGAGATCTTCTTCTTCTTCGCGTTCACCAGCTGTACACTCTGGTGGAAAGTTCTGGTTGCTCGTCCACTACTGAACTGCAGTCCTGCTCCAGAACCTGAACGTTGCATGTGCATCAGTTTCACAGATCTCATTCTCTTGAATACAGACTGTTGGTTCCTTGCCTCTCTGGCAGATGCACTCCAACTTCAAAGGAAGCTTCCCAATTAGTCGACTCTTACGACATGCTTTTAGGGAGGCAGTGGGTCTATTCTTGTTTTCCCTACAATGGGGCCCCGGAACCCACACCGGGGATATCTGAGATGATCGACATCTGAGATGATTCATGTCTGAAACAATCCACATCTGAGAAGATCCATATCTGAGATGATCCATGTCTGAGATGATGAACATCTGAGAAGATCCATGTCTGAGATGATCCATATCTGAGAAGATCCATGTCTGAGATGATAAACATCTGAGAAGATCCATGTCTGAGATGATCCATATCTGAGAAGACCCATGTCTGAGATGATCGATACTTGAGCAATCCATATTTTCAAAACTGTGGCCCTTAAGTAAACTTAGTTGAATAGGCCTGATGTATGTATGCTGTACACAGGATACTGTTGTCAATATATAGGGTGTCCCTACCTGTACAGAGGACACTGCTGTCAGTCAGTGTAAAGGACATTCCTGTCAGTGTAATGCAGTTGCCATCTGCGTAAAGGGAGCTGTTGTCAGAGTAAATGATGTCTGATGTATACTGCTGTCAGTGTAAACAATGTTACTATTTGTACTGATGATACTGCTGTCAGTGTAAATGATGTTACTGTCAGCGCAAAAAATAAACAAATTACTGTCGGTGTAAAGAATATTGCTGTCAGTGTAAAAGGAGTTGCTGTTAATGAAAATTATTTTAACAATATAAAGGCTGTTGCTATCTTGAGAATATTTGTGTTAGTATAAATGATGCTGCTATCAGTGTTCTATTATTCTAGATAAAATATTTCTTCTTTCCTTTCATATGCCACAGTGATGTAACTGCTGTGCCTGTTTGTACAGCAAAGCGGCGATGTCTGCACCTTTCAGCCAACACATCCCGCTTCATCGAGCATTTGTTGACCAGGTGAACTTCCCGGAAGTATTTGTTACAGTGAAGAATACTGCTACCAGTGTAATGTTGTCGGCACCTTTCATCCTTTTCAGACAAAGCGTTTTGTTTAGATAGGTGCTTTGCTGGGGGAAGGGGGGGGGGGGTGAATTCCAGAAGGAGGAGCTTCAGGTTATAAATGTGAACAGGTTATGTGCGCCATTTAAATGGCTTGGAAAAGGACTCCTAGTATTGATCAAAGGAGACGGACCCAAATACTGTCCCGTTTGGCGACAAAGTCATTTACTGGCAAGCCAATGGGCGACCCGGTCGACGATGACAATAGTATTAATTTACGCAACAGGAGGGCACGGGGATCAAAGCCCATGGTGATGTCAAGCGGGGACTAGCAAGACCAGCCCAGGTTTTTAAAAGTCTTCCACAATCAAAGTATGAGATTTCAGGAACACTGGCGCCATTGCATGTATTTAACATGCTTTATCTCTTAAACTATCCACAAACATTTTCTTCTTCTTTATCTTTACTCCTTTCACAATTTCCCCCTTCATGCAACCCAGTTCACAGCATCCTGTTCCTAGAAAACCACTTCAATATTTGTATCATTCATGCCCTGCTTGTGCATCTATTTAATTCGTAGCATAGGCAGACCTCAACATCTGCTACCCATTTATAATTTACCAGAGGACTCTCAAATATGTGCTGTAGCCATCAGAGCCTTTGAAAACTAAGCACAGAGAAGACTGTTATGACACCTGCTCTTTTCAATACTTTAGTGTTCTCTTGCCCTTTAATGTCTAGTATTCTTCGCAGACATCACACGTAAAAACTATTTATACCCATTTGCTCGGGTGTGAAGAAGTCAACCAAGTTTACTGTCGCAGAAGAAGCAGAGAACACAAACTTGACAGACAAGGGTTTTGTTTTGTTTGTTTTTGTTTACATTGTGTTTTCTGTCCTCCCTAATTCTTTTTATTAATCTGCTCACTTTTATCCCTGCCAACTGACCTGGCAAGATAACACACACAAACCACTATGCCTGCCAGAATGGCTCCCACAGATGCAAAGCCAGAAGTTGCCCACAGACAAATTAGAAGCCAGAATGGCTCCCATTGATGGAACTCACATACAAACTAGAAGACAGGCTAACTGTCTTGGCAAGAAAACACACACAAACCACTATGCCAGCACGGCTCCCATAGATGGAACACCATGGCTGCTGCTGACAGACAAGCTAGAAGCCAGACCAACTTACGAGGATCTGAGGCTAGATATTCCCAAACGTCTTCCCCAGAACCAGCGAGGTTTCCTAGGATCAAACCGTTTAGGCAGCACTGACTCGTCTGTGTTCCATACTTGTGACTGCATGATTGCTCGCTGCAGCATCAGATTCTGCAATACAAGGACAAGCTATCTTGATTCTTATTCTGTTTAATGAAGATGCAAGTTATGAATAATTATTTCAGGTCTGTGGCTTCAGCCAACTTCATACATGCAACACACAATTGTAACTCTTTCACCCCAAGCTGCTGATAATTCAGCTCTGCCATCCCTTACAACTCCCTGCCAGTGCCCAACAAGTCCATTAATCTACTGCTGCATATCTACACACCAAATGTGATCTAGCAGGTCTACCTGTGTAATGAGATCTAGCATGTCTACATATCTAATGTGATCCAGTAGGTCCACCTGTCTAATGTGATCTAGCAGATCTACCTGTCTAATGTGATCTAGTAGGTCTACCTGTCTAATTTGATCAAGCAGGTCTACCTGTCTAATGTGATCAAGCAGGTCTACCTGTCTAATGTGATCAAGCAGGTCTACCTGTCTAATGTGATCTAGCAGATCTACCTGTCTAATGTGATCAAGCAGGTCTACCTGTCTAATGTGATCTAGCAGATCTACCTGTCTAATGTGATCCAGTAGGTCTACCTGTCTAATTTGATCAAGCAGGTCTACCTGTCTAATGTGATCAAGCAGGTCTACCTGTCTAATGTGATCCAGTGGGTCTACCTGTCTAATTTGATCAAGCAGGTCTACCTGTCTAATATGATCAAGCAGGTCTACCTGTCTAATGTGATCCAGTAGGTCTGTCTAATTTGATCAAGCAGGTCTACCTGTCTAATGTGATCAAGCAGGTCTACCTGTCTAATTTGATCAAGCAGGTCTACCTGTCTAATGTGATCAAGCAGGTCTACCTGTCTAATGTGATCATGCAGGTCTACCTGTCTAATATGATCAAGCAGGTCTACCTGTTTAATGTGATCCAGTAGGTCTACCTGTCTAATTTGATCAAGCAGGTCTACCTGTCTAATGTGATCAAGCAGGTCTACCTGTCTAATTTGATCAAGCAGGTCTACCTGTCTAATGTGATCCAGTAGGTCTACCTGTCTAATATGATCCAGCAGGTACACCTGTCTAATATGATCCAGTAGGGCTACCTGTCTAATATGATCCAGTAGGTCTACCTGTCTAATGTGATCCAGCAGGTCTACCTGTCTAATGTGACCTAGCAGATCTATCGGTCTTCTGAATATGAGCAGACACTGCCAGTCACATAAGCCATCGCCATAGACTGTGATGCCCATACCTCCTTACAGCAAGCACAATGGAACACTATTGTCTGGATAAATGGAATGTGCCAACAACAGAGTAATGGCCAATTAAACAAAGCTGTCTGAAGACAGTGTTATACTGCACTATGAGGAGGCATAGGACTCACAGTCCATGGCGATGGCTAGTGTGACTAGCATGACCCGCCAGCATTAAGAAGTAATCCACAATTTATAGCACAGGATTTCAGGACCACTATTGTCAACATTTGTGTTTAGTCTATTTATTCTCAGACGCTCAGCTCTTATCCTTTCTGCAATTGTTTCCTTCTTCATTCTCATTCCCTTCCTGATGTGCCCCCTCCACACACTACAATCCATGGTATTTTGCTCCGAGTCCACCTCAATACCTAATCATTCATGTCCTGCTGCACACATTTTTTATATTATAGTAGAGATCAGCCTCGACATCTTCTACCCGTCTTTAATTTACCATAAAGGATGTCCTTAGGGATTCTGCCATCCTCCATTCTCCAGGTGTGACCCAGCCACCTGATCCTTTGTAGACTGAGCACTGAGATAACTATTGTAATACCTGCTCTTTCCAATACCTCAGTGTTTGTGATCTTGTCCTGCCAACTAATGTTCCACTCATCTATCTAGCTGCTTCTTCTTGTCATTGACAATTGCCCCATTCAAACTCTTTAGTGGTGCAATTTTCTTAATAGTTGTGCCAATGACCTTTTTTTCTAATCCCCTCATACATGCCTCTAACATTACCACAACTGCGAGCATTTTGAATGCTTTCACATTACTGGATCCAGTAGTCGTTGGCACACTGCCTAGTTATCTTTTGCAAATGATTTCTAGCTTCTCTCAATTCCCTGAGAGTGTTCCTTGTTGTTCTTTCCTTGTTTTTGAGGAGTATTAACTTTCCGCCACCAATTAAGGGCTGGGGTGTCTGGCTATATGCTTCAAACCAGTCCTTACTTCTATGTTTTCTAATCCCATAGACTGATACAGCTGTTTTGTTTTGTCTCCTTAATTGCATCCCATCTTAGGCTTGCTGTAGAGTTATCCTGGATATTAGTAAAAGCATCTTCGAGCTGTTGTTGGAACTCAAAACCTATTTTCAGGATCTTTAGTTTTGGAAATATTTAATCTATGGATATATTTGTGTTTTTTTAAAGAGAAAATTCTCTTTGGTTTCACCAAAACAACTAGGGAAAGGTCAGTATCACAGTCAGCACTGTGGTAGCTGCAAGTTCATGATTCAAGTGCTGCCTCCTAGTGAGAATAAGGTCCAACTGGTGTCAGTGGCCAGATCTTGGGTATTTCCATGACACCTTATGGCAGTCTTTAATTTTGAAAAAGGAGTTTGTGGTGCACAGGTAATTTCTAGTGCAGAATTCCAACTGTCCCTGCCCATTTTCATTCATGTGATCAACATGAGTTCAAGTCCAACCCCACGCGAGCTTAAAAATCACCAAGTATGAAGATGCCATCAGATTTAGGAATACAGTTCCTCATAAAAAGAATCCTTTGCCTCCTCCGTTGATGATAGAGTGGGTGCATATGCAGTAACAAGGGTGATAAAACCACTGAGGCAGACAATCGTAGGGATAATATTCTGTCATTTCCTCCAGATGGACTCACAACAGATCCCAGCAGTGAATCCCTTACTGTAAATTCCACTCCATACTTCCAGATTTCTTCCTGACCTTTGCCTTTCCAGAAGAATGTGTAATTATTTTCTCTAATGGAGCCATCCTCTGGCAGACTTGTTTCCTGTAGGTCAGCAATAACTATGTCAAGTTGATTAAGTTTGGCATCAATGATAGCCGTTTTTTTTCACATCACTAATGTTTTCCAGGTCAGTGGAAAACCTCAAACACATGGTCCTCAGGTTCCAAGAACCAAGTCAAAGCCTGAAGATGTTTTTTTTTAAATTGCCTGGTGCATGGGTTTTTACAGCCTGCGATTTGAATTTTGTCCTAGCTCCAAGCACCCACTGAAGCATACAGGCTGTTGTGGATCAGCACCTTTTTGGCTGGGGGCTTCCCAGCTTGAGGCTAGCAGTAGTTGATCAGTGACATTCGAAGATGTCTTCCACTGTCAGAGGCAACATGCCCTCGTCTATGCCAACTGACAAGGACTTATAACCCGTAATTGCTGCCTCTCGATTTTTTATCGAGACCAATTACGAGCAGGGATGAAGTTCCTCCTCTTCATGGGCAGTATTGTAGAGACCATATGCTGCCCATGCATTATGATCTCTCTCTCTCTCTCGGCCTGCCTTGTTTACTCTAAAGGAAAGGTAACACCAGTATGTTTGGAACAAAGCAGGCTGCAGAAGCTGCCAGATCAGAGGAGCAGTGCTCTATCTGTCCAACTGTCAGAGCTTCCCTTCTAGATCAGCTGCCAGCCGAGGCTAGGGCCTGGTCTGCAATGCCATCACAAAGTTTTCAGGTTGCATTTCCTCTTCCAATGATAAGACTAGTATCCTTCCCAATGTGCCCCTCAACTGTCCTTAGATATGGCTACATATAAATGGTCAAACCTGTGCTGGCTTAGATATGGCTATAGAGAAATGGCCAAATCTGTGCTGGCTTGGATCTGGCTTCAAAGAAATGGCCTAATCTTTGCTGGCTTAGATTCAGCTTCAGAGAAAAGGCCAAATCTTAGCTGGCATGGATATGGCTTTAAAAAAAAATGGCCAAATCTGTGCTGGCTTAGTTCTGGCTACAGAGAAATGGACAATAGACAAAGCTAACACCGACAATAAACCAATACCATGAGAACTAACCTTGTCCTGGATATCGACAGCTCCGATCAGACTCTCTACAGATGGCGGGAACCCTTGAAAATGTTGAGCATTGGCAACCAGGCAAGCTTGTTTGACCCCTGAAAGATGAAAGAAAACTTTTAATATGTGATAACATAGGGTGACATATAGCGGGACGGTAAGTACTGGAATATGTGATGACACAATATGACATCTGGCTGACATCAAGAGTATCAGAATATGTGATGAAAACCAGAAGACATCTCACAAGGAAGTAGATCAATGACACATGTGATGACAAAAGATGAAATCATGCTGAGAATCAAGAGTACTCACATATTACAAGATTACAACTGGCAAGGAAACCAGAGAATTGTTCTTGTTGGATAATACAAGATGACACTAGAAAGTTAGGTAAACAATTATTCCCAATGAATAAGATAACACCTGCAAAGATAACACCTGCAAGTAAGATGAACGATTCTTCACATATGATAAGATGACACATGTAAGTAAAGTAGAAAACTGTTCACATATGATAAGATGATACATGGAAGTAAATAGAAAACTGTTCACATATGATAAGATGACACATGGAAGTAAAGTAGAAAACTGTTCACATATGATAAGATGACAAGTGGAAGTAAAGTAGAAAACTTTTCACATATGATAAGATGATACCTGTAAATAGAAAACTGTTCACATATGATAAGATGACAAGTGAAAGTAAAGTAGAAAACCGTTCACATATGATAAGATGACACAAGTGGAAAAGTATGATAAGTGGAAGTAAAGTAAAACCGTTCACATATGATAAGATGACACATGGAAGTAAAGTAGAAAACCGTTCACATATGATAAGTGGAAGTAAAGTAGAAAACTGTTCACATATGATAAGATGACACATGGAAGTAAAGTAGAAAACCGTTCACAGTTCACATATGATAAGAAAATGACAAGTGGAAGAAGTAAAGCAGAAAACTGTTCACAGATGATAAGATGACACATGGAAGTAAAGCAGAAAACTGTTCACAGATGATAAGATGACACATGGAAGTAAAGCAGAAAACTGTTCACAGATGATAAGATGACACATGGAAGTAAAGTAGAAAACCGTTCACATATGATAAGATGACACATGGAAGTAAAGCAGAAAACTGTTCACATATGATAAGATGACACATGGAAGTAAAGCAGAAAACTGTTCACATATGATAAGATGACACATGGAAGTAAAGCAGAAAACTGTTCACATATGATAAGATGACAAGTGGAAGTAAAGTAGAAAACTGTTCACATATGATAAGATGACACATGGAAGTAAAGTAGAAAACTGTTCACAGATGATAAGATGACACATGGAAGTAAAGTAGAAAACCGTTCACATATGATAAGTGGAAGTAAAGTAGAAAACTGTTCACATATGATAAGATGACACATGGAAGTAAAGTAGAAAACTGTTCACAGATGATAAGATGACACATGGAAGTAAAGTAGAAAACTGTTCACAGATGATAAGATGACACATGGAAGTAAAGTAGAAAACTGTTCACAGATGATAAGATGACACATGGAAGTAAAGTAGAAAACCGTTCACAGATGATAAGATGACACATGGAAGTAAAGTAGAAAACTGTTCACATATGATAAGTGGAAGTAAAGTAGAAAACTGTTCACATATGGAAGTAAAGTAAAGAAAACTTTTCACATATGATAAGATGACACATGGAAGTAAAGTAGAAAACTGTTCACATATGATAAGATGACACATGGAAGTAAAGTAGAAAACTTTTCACATATGATAAGATGACACATGGAAGTAAAGTAGAAAACTTTTCACATATGATAAGATGACACATGGAAGTAAAGTAGAAAACTTTTCACATATGATAAGATAAAGTAAAGAAAAACTGTTCACATATGATAAGTGGAAGTAAAGTAGAAACACTTTTCACATATGATAAGAACACATAAGTAAAGCAGAAAACTTTTCACATATGATAAGATGACACATGGAAGTAAAGTAGAAAACTGTTCACAGATGATAAGATGACACATGGAAGTAAAGTAGAAAACTGTTCACAGATGATAAGATGACACATGGAAGTAAAGTAGAAAACCGTTCACATATGATAAGTGGAAGTAAAGTAGAAAACTTTTCACATATGATAAGATGACACATGGAAGTAAAGTAGAAAACTGTTCACAGATGATAAGATGACACATGGAAGTAAAGTAGAAAACTGTTCACAGATGATAAGATGACACATGGAAGTAAAGCAGAAAACTGTTCACATATAATAAGATGACAAGTGGAAGTAAAGTAGAAAACCGTTCACATATGATAAGATGACACATGGAAGTAAAGTAGAAAACTGTTCACATATAAGATGACACATGGAAGTAAAGTAGAAAACCGTTCACATATGATAAGATGACACATGGAAGTAAAGTAGAAAACTTTTCACATATAAGATGACAAGTGGAAGTAAAGTAGAAAACTGTTCACATATGATAAGATGACAAGTGGAAGTAAAGTAGAAAACTGTTCACATATGATAAGATGACAAGTGGAATTAAAGTAGAAAATTGTTTACATATGATAAGATGACACATGGAAGTAAAGTAGAAAACTTCACGACAAGATGACAATTGGAAGTGGGGTAGAAAACTGTTCACATATGATAAGATGACAACTGGAAGTAAAGTAGAAAAATGTTCACATATGATAAGATTACAACTGGAAATGAAGTAGAACACATCACACATGATAAGATGACAACTGTAAGTGGGGTAGAAAACTTCTCATATGATAAGATGACAACTGGAAGTAAAGTAAAAACTGTTCACATATGACAGGACATAACCTGGAAGTAAGGGAGACAACTGTCTGTGATCATACAGACTGGTAGCATACAGAATTAAAACCCCAAAATATGCTATTACCTTTAAATATGACACTTTAACACCCCCTCCCTCCCAATTAAACATTAAATTCCTGTGTGGGTTCTGGGTCCCACTTTAGGGGGAAAAGAATAGACTTGCAGAATTTAACAAGCCTTAAAAGATAACAAATTAAGGGTTTAAAAAAAAATAAGATGTGTTGGGATGAAAGGCACAGACACCACAAACTACCTGTAAATCACGATACAAACTGCTCTCTAAAGTATGAAAGACCGAGAGGAAGCATCAAATATCCAGCTGAAGCTACATGCCTTTAAATTTCAAATGTCACTTTACAAAAAACTTCAATTTATTCATTCATTTATTGGCACATTTCTCCTTCCCAGACGATAGTGTTATATTGTGCTATGAGAAGGCGTGGGACTCACAGTCCATGGTGAGGTGAGGGCAAGTTTAACCCACCTGCATTAAGGAAATTCTTCCACAGTTATAGCATGGGATATCAGGACCATTGTTGTCAACATTTGTGTTATAGTCTGTTTCATCTCTGACGCTCAGCTATCATTCTTTCTGCAGTCAATCACTTCCTGATGTGTCCCCTCCACACAACTTGGTCCATGGTATTTTGTTCCTACAAGTCCCCTCAATATGTGTATCATTCATGTCCCACTTGCATACATCTTTATATCGTTGTAGAGGCCAGTCTCAACATCTTCTACCCATCTTTAATTGACCACAGAGGATGTCCTTAGGAACTCTATATCATCCTCCAGGTTTGACACAGCCACCTGAGCCTTTGTAGGCTAAGCGATGAGAAAACTGTTGTTAACACCTGCTCTTTCTAATACCTCTGTGTTTGTGATCTTGTCCTGCCATTTAATGCCAAGTGAAAGCTATTTAGCCATTTCTCCTGGTGCCAAAAAGTTGACCAAGTTTCACTGCCATAAAGCAGTGCTGAGAACACAAGCCTCATGAACAAGAGTTTTTGTTTTAATCGTAAACTCCTAAACTCTTTTTGTTAATCTGCTCACTGTTGTTGCTGCCTTGCCTGATTTTTTAGGTCCAGCAATAGTTTGTTATTGTTATTCTCTGTGGATCCCAGATAGATAAAAAGGTCAAATGTCTCCAGCTCTTCCCCATCGATGTACACTGCAAGTCTATCATTAACACCTTGCACCATAACCTTTGTCTTCTTTTTTGGCTGACTGTTAGTTTAAATTCACAGCATGCATCAGCAAATGCAGACAGTAAACATTGCAGCTTCTCCTCTATTGTATAAAGCCTCAAATATCTAATAAGGGTTCTATATTTTTGAACATGTAAGGCACTCCATGGCACATCAAATCTTCAAATATCAGCTTGTAGCATCATGTCTTGATAGAGTTAACAGTCATCTTACCTTCAAATATAAAACTTTCATCTTTCCTCAAAATATCACCCTGTCATCTTAGTCTGAAACATCAAACTGTTATCTCACCTTCAAATATTCTGTCAGCTTATCTTTAAATTTCAAACTGTTATCTTACCTACAAACATCAAACTGTCAACTTGCCGTCAAATGTCAAACTGTCAGCTTATCTTCAAACATTAAACCGTAATATTTATTACCTTCAAACTGTCATCTATATCTTCAAACAGTGAACTGTAATATTACCTTCAAACAAACGAACATTACTACTGTGAGTGAAGGCTGGCTCAGTGTTCCAGTCTGGCAATTTCTCTGGGATCACTGGTTCTGCAAATCGGAGATTCTCAGGGGGCGGTGTCCATCTTGGCAAGTCTGGCTTTATTATTTGATTTACTTCGACAATTCCTACGCCTGTAAGTGACAACATAAAGACAACTGTTAGTGTCATCACAACACAGGTGAGGTCTCTGATAAGGTCCGCTTACAATTTACACTAGGCCTAAGGAATGTCCGTAGGAGAAGCTGGATGTGTCTGAAACTGCAGCAGCTATTCTTTAATTCTGAGAGAGGAGGAGCCTCACATGAGACTAGAAATCAGTTGTCCCCAGAGACTGAAGCAGGTCTTAACTGGCTTTGCAGAGAGGAGAAAACCTGAGGTGAGACATGCCCATGAGAGAAATCAGTGGTCTCAGAGACTGTAGAAGGTCTTGACTGGCTTTGCAGAGAGGAAGTGACCTGAGATTTGACTTGCTCATAAGAGAAACAATCTTTCTCAGACTGGATGAGGTATTGACTGACTGCACAGAGGAAGGGAATGAGATGAGGCATGACCATGAGAGAAATCGGTTGTCACAGAGAATGAAGCAGCTATTCTTTAATTCTGAGAGAAGGGGACCTGAGATGAGACATGACAATCAGAGAAATCAGTTGTCAATGCGAATGCAGCAGCTATTCTTTAATTCTGAGAGAATGAGACCTGAGATGAGACATGACCATCAGAGAAATCAGTTTTTCAGAGAATGCAGCAGGTCTTGGGGTTGGTTCTGCAATGTCCTGTAAAGGATACTCAACTAACCTTGACCTGTGAATAAAACTGTCTCTAACTGGATGGATATAAGAGAAATCAGCTTTTTCAGAGAATGCAGCAGGTCTTAACTGGCTTTGTAGACAGGAAGCAACCTGAGATGAGACAAAGCCCATGAAAAAAATCAGTTAATTTGATGCACATTATGCATTCGCATTTTAGTGACAATACTGGAGACCTTTTTGTCACGTGTCAACATACGATGGGGAGCGTTATGTGACATCACAAAGAATAACTGAACAGCGCATCTCAGACTGAATCAGTATGTGTGTATGTAAAGTACAAATCTCTGATTATTTAAATATCGCAATGAAAGCAACATCTTTCTTTTAATGTTAACCCCACTACTGTCAGGTGAAACAGATCACGCGGACTGCAATATCTATCTTTTGTGCAAACTTGGTTGTTTGAAAATAATGGGTAAGAAGACCTATGAATAAGTTGGCTCTGTGGCTAAGTCGATGCAAATGCTTCGTAATGCCGGGTTTGATCCCAGCTGCAGGCTATGCGTCTTGTGTTGGTTTCGACAGTGGTATCAAGAAAGCTGACCGTCCAGAAAGCAATGGCAAACTACTGGACATAAATTTGCCTAGAAAAACCACACAACAGCCAGGGGCTGTTGAGGTTGGTTTTGCAACGTCCTGTAAAGGATTCCCAACTAACCTTGACATGTGAATAAACACATTATTTTCTCATGCATTTGTGATTAACTTTAGTTAAAAAGTAAAAGGTAAAGTTGGCAGATGTGAACCAGCGTCATTGCACACATTTATAAACCATTAAGTGCTCTGCCACAGTACACACAGCTGATAAGAAACTGTCTGCATGTCTGAACATGTTTAGTAATGAAGTTTGTATTCATACTAAAGTACACCTATTACATGAGTTATGTTTTAGAGCAGTGGCTGAGGAATTAATCAAGCAGGTATGTGACCTAGACGTGATCGTCACTGAAAAGAATGGACGAATACACCAGTAGACATGCATGGCAGCTCTAAGGTTGTCATTACACTCGGAAGGTACTGCAGGGATCAAATTCCTGTGGCCGTGGACACAGAAGTAAAGGAACCGATGGATCAGCATTCAGACCCAGAAGATATCATCTACACAGATGGATCCGTGAAGCGCGGATCAAGGTCAGCATGGACATACACAGCGCAAAGAAGGGGGAAAACAATACATAAGGACAGCGGCACTTACCAGACAACCACGTCAAGCATGACCATGGAAATAGCCGCTGCTTCTAGAGCTTTAGCATGGGTATCTGAGCAAACCGCCACACAGGCAGTAATTGTCTCAGACTCAAGATAGCAACAGGCAGTATGCGCTCTGAATGGATAGAAAGCATTAGGAAATCGTATTTAACCTCTGTAACCTGGATCTACACACCGAGTGATGCGGGAGTAAAGGGAAATGAGCGAGCGGACCAACTGGCAAGCAGTGCATTAATGATTGCTGAAAAAAGCATGGATAGAGCAGATATCGTCAACGTGTGCGGACTGGGCTAGTGGATAATGAGGAATCCCTAACACTTAACACGATTGCGTGACATGGGAGTTCAGCATGGTGAAGCACATCCCTGCCGTCTTCGAGGCCGGGAAAGGAGACAATATAACCAGCTTCTCATGGGGACAATTAGTAGAAGCACTTTGGAGTGGCTGCTGCTTCAGAGAACTGAGCACGCATGGGTATGCCCAATGTGCAGTGACGTCGATTGTGATAACAAAAAATAAAATAACATCTTGTAGGGAGTCGGCAGTCCGAAACCCAAGTTCAAGGTGTCTCCTTCATGCCAAAGAACTGCATGGCGGTTGGGTGAACAGTCGTTAACGAAGGCAGTCAGGTCATTGCAGGGGCCATGCCTGCTGGTGGATGTAATGTCCTGAGTCCCTTCCCCAGCTAATAGTGAGGGTGACCGTTGATTAACCCTCATATAATGCTTCAGATCAAAATGAACTCTAGGCACGGCCACATTTTTTTTTTTTAGCTGTGGCCAATGTTTATTTTTTTTCTTCTGCCAGACGGCGGCCGTTGCATTTTTTGCTCCATTTGTAGACTGGAAAGATATGGTTTTGTCGCCCAGCTTCTGAGTTCAGTGCATGGTGTGACACTGTGAGCTACGTGTGTTTTTCGTTGGCACAGGAGCGGAGCAACTATGGGGTGACCCTTTGCTATGAAGCTGAAACTAGGATTACCAGATTACCAGAGCAGTGGTTTTTAACCTTCCTAATGCCACAACCCTTTAATGTAGTTTCTCATATTGTAGCGACCCTTTAATACAGTTCTTTATGTTGCAGCGACCCTCAAACATACAAATATTTTCGTTCCTACTTGACAACTTTAATAAATATGTGTTTTCAGGTTGTTCGAAACTAAAAAAGGGTCATGACCAGCAGGTGGAGAGCAGCTGTTTTAGAATCTGCAACCACTGTAGCTGTGTGGCAAGTACAGGGACCTTTACTTTTAGAGAGAGAAAAGCATTGGAAGCAATTATAATTTAACACTAGTTTGGTATCACATATCACACTGTTCCTTTAACATATGACAATCTAGAGTCTACCTTTCAAGATATTCCAACACAAATCAATGCAAGCATGTACTTCATTACTGGTAAATAAACAAAACACAAATAGTATATACTAATCCACAGCAGGGATGCATATCTATTTTTTTAATACAAATCACATTTAAACGGTGTGTCAATTCTAACTTATAATATATGAGTAAGAGCATCCACAATATTACTATTCTATTACATTACCACACTGCTCTGTTCAAATATTTTCAGACAAGATAGAAAGTAACCTACAACAATTGTCTGTCTACGAACAGGACACTGCTGGCTCAACTACCATATGAATAAAATAAAGATCGTACTCTTCACAGCGTGCCTGTCAAACAGGACCACAAACACCTGAGCACATCCTGCAGACCTGCCCACTCTACCTGCAACTTTGAAAAGACACCTGGCCTTAAGCTAGCGACTACAGTTTCGGAAATTTGCGATCTTTTCGACAATTTCCGTTACCATGGAAACCGTTTGAAACTTGTTTCGGAAATGTTGACATTTTTCATGCTATCGCTATTATGTGGCTGTGTCTCATTCGTCATTGGCTGCCATCTTGTCTAATGACAGACCAATGTCAACAAAGCCAAAATGAAAGTTGCGCAGTTTGGTGGTTGCGCAGAGAAAATCTCTTGTTCTGGGAGACAGGTTTTAGCAGCTGCTTTCTTACTTTCTACATCTCATCTCCACAAAAACCTACATATCTCAGCTCAGAAAGGACATAAAAGCCTAAATGAGGTACCATTGGAAAAAGATTGTTTACAGCTATCTAACTGTGCTGGTTTTATTGGTCTAGAGGGCATTTTGAAAATTTGACTAAAGTATCTACTTAAGCCTTAAGAGCAAAGTGTGCAGACAAGCTGTGGGGACCATGAATTTACATTCTTGTCTCTACGCGGCTACTAAAATATTATTGCTAATATTGCACACGCATAAATGACATACCAATGTTGCATACACACAGTCATGCCATACACTATAACTATAATTACTAAACTACACACCCTTGTTGCGTAAAGCCAGCGGAATATTTGGAGGGTAATTGTAGAATCGGCCACGACATTTCCAGACTTTCATCCAGCGTCGATATGTAGTGTCTCGTAGCCCGTAACACAGGTGTAGAGTTAGACGCATGTCTACTAATGATGTGTTCAAGAATATAACATATATTATAAAACAAGCTACTGTGTATGTGCTCAACAAATATATAAGAATAACAGCTCCTGTTTTCTTGACAGGGGTCAACCAGAAACGTTCTTTTACTACACAGTGGCCATTTGTACGATACGGAGATTTTATTGTTTACAAATTTAGAATTAGCTGTTCTTATGACTTTAAGTAAAGTAAAAATGTTTTTATATTTTATTTTAATATTTAAATCAATATAAGTATAAAATATTTTAGAAATTGTGCAAAAAGGGTTATAATTAATTATTTGTTAAACGTGGCATATTATTATTACTCCCTTTTCGTCGACAGACTGTATCTATTATTTTGGCCTATTTGTTTGCTATTATATATAATATTGTCTTTTACAAGCTTTTGGGACTAACCAAATCAAATGCCCTGGCGAGGTCAATAAATGCAATTCACAGTGGTTGATTTTGTTTATGGCCTTTTCCCTCTGAGACTGTCGTAATGAAAACATCATATCAGTATTAGACCGGCTCCCACGAAAGCCACACTGTGACTCTGGGAAACCCTGGTCTCCTAGGATCTGGGATCCCCGCGGGACAGTCGAGCAAATACTTTTCCAGCAGT